CTTACACACCTTTTTAACTTACCAATTCCTCAGGTGGACCCCCAGGGTATGGGACTCCTACAACCCCCTATAGCCAAACACTACTCCTCTCTCATCCAATTACAAAACCCTTTCACTCCCATCGAGAGAAAAAGGCAAGATGTAGCCCACCCACCTGATTCTGGTTGTATGAAAAAAATTCGTTGGTGTGTGTGTGTGTGTGTGTGCAGATGTGTCTGTGTTTTCTGGTCAATCCATAAATTTCATTGTAAACATGGGAGCCAAGACAGAAATCATTCAGGCTCAGCTGAATGTATGAACAAGGAAGGCCACTTCATGTTTTGTTTCTGACCGTTCTTTGAATGTGTGAGCTTTCTGTGTTTTGTGTGTTTTTGCTTTCTCTGCCCCTGCCAGCTGCCAGACACCATGGCTACAAGCAGCCACCATGCTGCTTGTGATGGCTGGCTTGATGGCCAGAGCTCAGAATCTATCTCTGGGCTGTCTGATCACTGGATTTGGTTTACAAAAGATAGGACTTAAAAACAATGCTTGTTCAATAAAGTATTAGAGCTACACCTCCATGATTCACATACAAGAATGTACCCCTGGCTGTAGCTGGACTTCTTATATGGGAATCAAAGAAGTTAACCTTTGGGTCGCTTATTAAAGTATTCTCTCCTCTCCACCTGTCCCACCTTCTAACATACAAGGGTCCACAAACACTGCTACCTTCCCAAATTCTTTCTCTTCAGGCAGCATTGGCAGCAGATACCATACACCTTTCAGTCATTCCCATGCCTCAACATTTCAGACTATTTCAAGTCGCTGATTTGATCCCCTTGTGTGTAAGGATCATGTGTTTGTGCTGGCTTCTCCCGTCCATCATGTTTGGTTCTAAGTTCTACCCATGCTCGATTTTCAACGGTGACAACTTCTGCTACTACACAAACAATGATCTGAAAAGTCTTTTATACCTAAGCTTGCTGTTTCTAAGCTGTTGATTTCAGCATTGAGTTTGATTATTCCCGGTTGTCCATGGTTCTTGGGTCTGTTTTCTTCTTTTTATTCTAGAGCTTTTAGGTGTGCTTTTAAATTGCTAGAATGAGAACCCTCCAGGTTTTTTTTTTTTTTTTTTTTTTTTTTTTTTTAGGGCTTTTTGTGTTTTTTTTTTTTTCTTTTATTTATTTCTTTTTGTTTTTTTTTTTTTTTTTTTTTTTTTTTTATGAAGGCACTTAGTGCTATGAATTTTCCCCTTAGCACTACTTTCATTGTGTCCCATAAGTTTGGGCATGTTGTGCCTTAATTTTCATTGAATTCTAGAAAATTTTAAATTTCTTTATTTCTTCTCTGACCCAGTGGTCATTGAGTAGGGAGTTGTTCAGTTTCTATGTAGGCTTTCTGTTTCTGTTGTTGTTGAGTTCCAGCTTTAATCCATGGTGGTCTGGTAAGATACAAGGGGTTATTTCAATCTTCTTGAATCTGTTGAGGCTTTCTTTGTGACTGAGCATATGGTCAGTTTTGGAGAAGGTTCGGTGAGGCGCTGAGAAGAAGGTATATTCTTTCGTATTTGGGTGCTCCGAATGTTGGAATATAGGCTTGAGAGTCTATATTCTACAGCACAGACGATGGTGGTGGGGGACTAGGAATATATGCCCCATCAGCTCCCCGCACTACCCAGCTGGAACAGCCTAGTGGGCTCCTCTGAGGTATAACAGGCTTCCAGCCTTATTCTCATCCCCCCACCCCCATAGCCTTCATCCTTGGGTTCTCTGGCACAGCGCCCATTGCATGCCAAGGATGCAGAATAGGCCTGGTTACCACAGGGAACCCCTATAATGATACCCTCCCTTTTTTTGCCAGCTTGCTTGGTCACAGCCATCAGTGTCAGGAGCCCAGACACAGTGACTACCATTGCTGCTTAATGGGTCAGACTTGTGAGTATCTGAGGCCCAAAACCTCCGCCTTAGGTTAGTTTTTCCATTTTCTAACAGCGATGTCTCCTTCCCCTTTTGGATGGGTCAGTGTTTCAACAAGGCAAAGAGTTTACTTCTGCAGCTGGCAGGGTGCTTGCCAACATGGCAGAGGCCCTGGGTTCAGTTCCCAGAACCACATAGAGTGCCATGTACCTGTTCTTCTAGTGCTTGGGAAACAGGCAAGAGGATTGAAAATCCAAGGTTTTCCTATTTACATAGCAAGTTCAAGGTCAGCCAGAGCTGCAGGAGGCCCTGCCTCAGCTCTTTACCCCTAGAAAGCCGTTGGGAAGAACAGGATTCCTTCTTACCTCTCAATCACTTTCCTTAGCTGGTCTGTCCCAAGGAACCTAAACATGCTTCAAAGGAGGAGGGAAGGAAAGAGAGAGGGACACACATATACAGAGAAGGGGAAAGAGAGAGGGAGAGAGAGAGAGAGAGAGAGAGAGAATGAGGAAGACAGAGGGAGAGAGCGAGAACGCTTCAGTTGGACGGAGGAGGAAGAAGGCTGCTTGTTCATCCTGCTGCATTTGCTCTTTGTTGTTGCTGGACTGCTAGCTATCCTGATGACTGAGACTGGTATTTTCCCAAAGAACCCAACAACCCTAACCAACCAGAACTGAATATAAAGAGGTCTACATCCCCTATCTCTTCTAACCTTCTTTCTCTTCTGCCTAGGGTTGGGGAGTTGGAAGGGAGGTAGAAGCATTAAGAGACCCCAAATAAAAGTTAAAAAGGAGTGCCTATACTATCTACCTCAGATGTTCATTTTATTTTCCCTTCTGAGTAAGATCCAAGCACTCTCCCTTGGGCCCACCTTGTTATTTAGCTTCTTTGGGTCTGTAGATTGTAGGATGGCAATCATATACTTTATGGCTAATATTCACTTTTAAGTGAGTACGTACCATGTTCGTCTTTCTGGGTCTGGGTTACCTGACAGGATGATTTTTTTTTCTAGTTCCGTCCATTTGCCTACAAATTTCATGATCTTTGTTTTTAATACCCGAGTAGTATTCCACTGTGTAAACGCACCACATTTTCTTTATCCATTCTTCAGTTGAGGGATGTTTAAGTTGTTTCCAGTTTCTAGCTGTTACAAAGCTTTTAGGAACATAGTTGACCAAGTGTCCTTGTGGCATGGTGGAGCATCCTTTGGGTATATGACTAGGAGTGGTACAGCATGATCTTGATGTAGAACTATTCCCAATTTTCTGAGAAATCACCAGACTGATTTCCAAGTGGCTGTACAAGTTTGCACTACCACCAGCAACGGAGGAGCGTTTCCCAGACACACATAAGAGATGTGCAGCTTGGTCCTCATGTGGGACCTCCAATGGTGGGGGCAGGGGCTGCCTCTGACTCTGTTTCCTGTCTTTGGATCCTATCCCCCTAACTGGGATGCCTTGTGTAGCCTCAAGAGGATGCACCAGTCCCACTTGATATGCCAAAGCAAGATGATGCCCATGGAAGGTCTCCCCTTCCCTGAGAAGAAAGGAGAGGGGCTAAGTGAGAGGGGAGGGAAAAGGTAGGGACTGAGAGGAGAGGAAAGAGGGCGAGTTTCTACTGAGATGTAGAGTAGCAAATAAATAAATAAAACAAAACCATGAACACCTAAATACAGGGTTATAAGCTGGAATCCATGCTGAGAAGGGAAAAAAAAAAAAAAACAGCAGGAAGCAGGAGAGTGAAATGGGTGGAGAATCATTCTTTGGGTTGCTCAGGGACGCTTCAGGCCATAGGATGAGCAAAGCAAGGGACAGAGCATCAGAAAGAAGCACTTAAATCAGGCCACCAGGTCCCTGGAGGGTTGGGTGAATGGTTGAGGTTGAGATGCAGCAGGTCATTCAGAGCCTTTCATGGTCATGATGAGCCTAATCACTGACCCATCCAAGGGGGAAAGGAGACATCACTGTTAGAAAATGGAAAAACTAACCTAAGGCAAAGTTCTTGGGCCTCAGATACTCACAAGTCTGCCCCAGAACGCACCAATGGTAGTCACTGTGTCTGGGCTCCTGAGCACTGATGGCTGTGACCAAGCAGGCTGGTGCTGAGGAGAGCATCATTATTGGGGTTCCCACTGGGAACCAGGCCTAGTGCGCATTGTTGCAATGCAATGAAAACTGTGCCCGGGGAACCCAAGCATGAGGGCTATGCAGGCATGAGAATAAGTCTGGAAACAGCTTCAGCAGCCCCTAGGCTGCTCAAGCAGGACAGTGGGGGAGCTGAGGGAGCATGCATTCCTAGTCCCCTCCCCACTTGTGCAATGGAGGCTTGGTGATGGAGGGATGGGGAGGCTTAGGGAGGCAGTGTGTGTGTGTGTGTGTGTGTGTATTTGTTGGTGTCTCTTAACTTCCAACCTGCAGGATGCTGTTGGGAGCCAGTGTTGATGGGGAGTCAGCCTGTGGCCTGTCTGCCCCAGGGAGCTTCAGAAGCCTTGCACTGAGGCACTGCAGTGCTGTGGAGCCCTGGAGCTGGAAGGGGGTAAGCCTGTGGCTTCCTGACAGCTCAGCTGGAGGGAACAGAGACAGTCTATGTGGCTCCAGGAAGTGCTGCCCCTGGGAAGGAAGGAGATTATGTCTCGCCTGACAGAGACTCAGCAGATTCTCTCCTGACCTGCTTCAGGGACTGCAGCAGAGGGAGCAGGGAGGCCACTGGGCACTTCTCTGGTACAGTCCCCTCAGAAGGGCAGAGGGGCCGAAGTGCTGAAACCTAATTACTGCTCTCATCACTCTGGTCTTCTATAGCTTCCCAGAGTTCCTGGCTCAAGGGCGAAATGTTTCCTCAGTGTCAGAGAACCAAGGAGAGCACTGGAGCCTCAGTGGCAGCCTCTTTTGTTGTAGAAGCCCCACTCACCTTTCCAATTATGCTGGTTCTCTTAGCATGGAAGTGACAGCAGTAGGGCTAGTTTGCAGAGGTAATTAAGATATACAGGATCTGAGCCCCATCTCTCAACTCTTGTCTTAGCTGGCCAGAACCAGGCCTCTGCATGTCCCCACCTTTATCACCCGCTCCTCAGGACTGCCGGACACCATCTTGGGAAGAGCAGCAGTGTTTACTGACCCTAATGTGGCTTCTCTTGGGAGTAAAAATGGTACAGTTTCAGAAGGGAGCAAATCTTCCCAGCCCCGTTAGGGACTCTGTGTTCCTTGAACAAATTTCATACTTGGAAATGTCACCTAGTGCTCTTACTTGACTAATCTGCAGCAATGAATTGACTCTGCATCTTGACTGGATGAAGGAGGCTCAAAGGGCGGCACCCTGAGTTCAAGAGAGAGGACAAGAGCCTTGTCATCATCTCCCAACACAACCCAGGAGAAGTTCACAGTGCCCTGAGTGTTACTTTACAAGGAGAGCCGGACTGTATAAAACTGCATCTTCTTTATTTTGCTGCCAAAGCCTCCACAATGGGGTGAGCATGACTGGCCTCTGGGTGTTGGTGACCATGATGCGTCCCACTGTAGAGTTGTCTGGAAGTAACTGGGTCTTCATCATCTGTTTCACGTTGGCTGTCTAGCTATAGCTGCTTGTCCCAATGCAGCAGGGAGAAGACACAAGCCTAATGGAGACTGTCCCCTGTGGATAATTAAAAAGGTTTATTTATTTATTTTTTGTTTTGTTTTGTTTGGACACAGGGTCTCACATGATGTAGTTCTGGCAGTGCTGCATAAATATGCCAAGCATTACCCTGGGTTTTAGACCAACTAAAACCATCCTGTACAATAAAAGATCTTCTGGAGGTATCTCCATCCCTGATCTCAAGCTGTACTATAGAGCAACAATACTAAAAACTGCATGGTACTGGCATAGAAACAGAATGGTGGATCAATGGAATCAGACAGAAGACCCTGAAATAAACCCACACACTTATGGACACCTGGTTTTTGACAAAGATGCCAAAACCATACAATGGAAAAAATCTTCAACAAATGGTGCTGGTCTAACTGGATGTCTACATGTAGAAAAATGCAAACAGATCCATATTTACCACCCTGAACAAAAGTAAAGTCCAAGTAGATCGAAGACCTCAATATAAAATCAGGCATACTAAACCTGTTAGAAGAAAAAGTGGGGAAGAGCCTTGAACTCATTGGTACAGGAGACAACTTCCTAAAGAGAACACCAACAGCACAGGCTCTAAGAGCAACAGTCAATAAATGGGACCTCATGAAACTGAAAAGCTTCTATAAAGCAAAGGACACTGTCGTCAAAACAAAACAACTGCCTGTAGGGAAAGGATCTTCACCAACCCTATATCCGACAGAGGGCTATTATATAGTATATATAAAGAACTCAAGAAGTTAAACAGCAACAAATCAAGTAATCCAATTAAAAAATGGGGCTAAACAGAGCTAAACAGAGAATTCTCAATAGAAGAATATCGAATGGCAGAGAAACACTTAAAGAAATGTTCAATGTCCTTAGTCATCAGGGAAATGCAAATCAAAACGAGGCTGAGATTTCACCTTACACCCATCAGAATGGCTAAGATGAATAACTCAAGTGACAACACATGCTGGAGAGGATGTGGAGAAAGGGGAATGCTCCTCCACTGCTGGTGGGAATGTAAACTTATGCAACCACTTTGGAAATCAATCTGGCGCTATCTCAGACAATTAGGAATAGCGCTTCTTCAAGATCCAGCCATACCACTCCTAGGCATATATCCAAAAGAGTCTCAAGTACATAATAAGGACATTTGCTCAACCATGTTTGTAGCAGCTTTATTTGTAATAGCCAGAAGCTGGAAACAGCCCAGATGCCCCTCAGTGGAGGAATGGATACAGAAATTGTGGTACATCTACACAATGGAATATTATTCAGCGATAAAAAACAAGGACATCATGAAATTTGCAGGTAAATGGTGGGAATTGGAAAAGATCATCCTGAGTGAGCTATCCCAGAAGCAGAAAGACACACAGGGTATATACTCACTCATAAGTGGCTATTAGATATATAATATAGGATAAACATACTAAAATCTGTACACCTAAGGACACTAATCAGGAAGGAGGACTTTGGCTAGGATGATCAATCCCCACTCAGAAAGGCAAAGAGGATGGACATCGGAGGAGGGAGAAAACAGGGAACAGGACAGGAGCCTACCACAGAGGGCCTCTGAAAGGCTCTACCCTGCAGGGTATCAAGGCAGATGCTGAGACTCACAGCCAAACTTTGGGCAGAGAGCAGGTAATCTTATGAAAGTAGAGGGAGATAGTAAGACCTGGAGAAGACAGGAGTTCTACAAGGACAGCAACAGATCCAAAAAGTCTGGGCACAGGGGTCTTTTCTGAGACTGATACTCCAGCCAAGGACCACTCATGGAGATGGCCTGGAACCCCTGCATGGAGGTAGCCTATGGCAGTTCAGTGTCCAAGTGGGTTCCATAGTAATGGGGACAGGGTCTGTCTCTGACATGAACAGATTGGCCTGCTCTTTGATCACCTCGCCCTGAGGGGGAAGCAGCCTTATCAGGCCACAGAAGAAGACAATGCAGCCACTCCTGATGAGACCTGATAGACTAGGATCAGAGGGAGGGGAGGAGGACCTCCCTTATCAGTGGACTAGGAGAGGGGCATGGGTGGGGAAGAGGGAGGGTGAAATTGGGAGGGGAAGAAGGAGGGAGGTACGGGGGGATACAAAGTGAATAAACTGTAATTAATAAAAATAAAAATAATTAAAAAGAAAGAATGGCAGATGACTACCCCAGTTACTCTGGATACTGAGTTTCCAGGATGGTGGCTTGAGTCCAGGGATTCATGAATAACCTGGGCAAGACAGCAAGTCCTTTCTCATGCCTGTATATTAGATGGGATAATCACTGTAATGATGTATATGCAAAGAAAAGTAAGTTTCTACTTCATCAAGAGGCCAGAGGAAACATCCGGAAAGTTCCCAGACACAGCAGTCTGTGATTGCTCCGGGGACAGCCTGTATGTTTTTCAGGGGAGAATCTCTGACACAAACTTACCATCTCAACCTTTTTCTCCAAGAGCTCCTTCATGAGATCGCAGAGACTCTGAAACTTTGCCTTGCTCTCTCATCCATTTTCTTCTCTTACTCATTCTCTGGTCTTTCCAGACCCTCCTTAGTCGCCATGGCCAGGCTCTTTCCATGAAGCCCTGTGAGTTGCTGCATGCAGACTCAGTCACACACACCATTTCAGAGCCTGGCTTCCGCTCACGCCCCACAAAGGTAAAGTTGGCTCTCACCTAAAGGATTCATTATAAACTATGACTCAGTGACTGAAAGCAGGTCTTGATGTGTCGGTCCTTCCTTCATTTCACATGCTGCAAGGCAGCTTTGATCAGAGCCAAGTTGGAACACACCAGACCTATAGTAGATGGACTTCTGTGTTTCCTTCACATGAGACACGTTCTCTGACAGGGATGTTATCACAGAGAGGTGGGTTAGCAGAGGAACGCAGACAGGTGCTGCCACTTAGTGAAGTGTTTATGGATTCCAACCTTTAAGTGTAGGGAAAGAAAAGGTCCCATTGTGAAATGGAAAGTAACGCCCAAACACAAAATGGTTAGAAGAGAAAGTACTTGTCTATCTTACCTTGAAATTCGTGAACACCTCCAAGAATTTCTTTCACTTCTCTTTGTCTTCTGACAACTCAGAAGACAACTGTTCTTCATAATGAGTTGTCTTCTGACAACTCTTCTTCACAATGCTTCTGTTGATGACTTTCAGGATCTTGCTCTGCTGGAACAATTCCCTGGAGATTTTCAGCGACATATCCTAGAAGTCAGCCATGCCACAGATAAAGACAACAGTCAGCCAGAGCAGAAAGCCCAAGACAGTTGGTTTAGACCTGGTCTGGTGACCACATTTAAGCAACCCAGCCAAGCGCAGGTTTGGGGAGATAAGAATGTTATTATCTGGATTAAAGACAGTCTCAGCTGTGTGCTGAAGATCTGTTAAGTAAGTGTTTGCCTGTACTACAGACAGTAGGTGAGGAGAGCCTTTGTTTTTGAGGCACTCTGTTATCAGCTTCTTGTAGCTCTCCATGTTGAACTCATGACAGACATGCAGTTTGGTGCTGCTCTCCTTGTTCTTAACAAGGTCAAAGAGAGCTTGTCAGGAAATGAAGAGCAATGCCATGAATTCCAAGTGGCCTTCCCCAAAGAGGTGCTGGAAAAAAAAAAACCCAGAAGAAAATATCAGGACAAGATTGCCTCAAGTCCCAATCTCCAACATCTGACCCTGGAACACTGCCACACTCCTGAAGACCTAGGAACTGAGTGGAAACTATAGGCAGCTCCAAAGAAAACAGCATTTTTACTAAGTCAGCTTGTAAAGCTAGCAGCAAAGGGTCCCTCCAATCAGAATCGTAGCTGTCATGGTTAGGCTACCACCCAGATCCCCACTTGAAGGGAAAGTGAAACCACTACCAACTGCTGGCCTGTCTCAGAAGCCCACAGCCATTCAACTCGTGCGTGGTCCCATGGCTTTCCATTTTCAGGTACCAAACAGAGGAAGTTGTTCCCTATCGCCTCCAGCATATTCTTTGACCCTTGCAATTTATATAACATCAATCAAGAGGTCTGGTCAACTATTGGTGAGGTCATAGAATTTGCCATATTCCTCCTGAGGGATGTCAGTAGGGTTTCTGGTCCAAATGGTCTCAGTCTTATTTAACTCTTCCTCATCAATCTAGTTCTCCCTTACCTCCTTGGTTTTCTTTGTCTTATCTTTGCCACTGTCCTCCTCATCTGTTCCCACATCTTCAGTCTTAAGCTTCTCCTCATCATCCTTATGTTCTCCTCTTTATCATCTTTACTGATCTCCTTCTCTCCTTCCTTCTCCACCTAAGTCACCAAATGACATAATGAGTTGTGGAGAACTCAGTACCAGCATAGCCAAAGGCCATGAGCCAACACAACAGCCTGCTCGAAGGCTGCCAAGCCTATATTCACACAGAGAATGCTGGGAAGAGTCTATTAACTGTGTCGTCACAGCTTCCTTGACCCTCCTCTCCTTTGTGCATTCTGCCTGGTCTTTTATGAGATGAAGGATCACTTTTGCATCCTGGCCAGTGGGCTCACCTCTACAGGCATGAATCATCAAAACTGTAACTAACTGGACAAAGACAGAGCACTCTAAAATATAATCCTCAAGACTTCTAACTTACTTCACTCAGAGAATTCTACCAAGCACCACACTGTAGAGAGCTAACTCACCATGGTCTACACAGCCTGTGAAGGACTGACCAGGAGATAACTCCATGGCATACTGCTCATTAGCATCATGCTTGTGACCACACCATGTTTTCTGTCACCAGAGACAGAACCGAATCCAACACAGAGCTGTCCAATCATGTAAAAGCCTGCAGCAGCCTTCCGTGGGGTTTTGAAAGTTAACAGAGAGAAAGCAAAATGGTTCTGCACAAGGAAAAGTTCTTGCTGAGCAATTATAACAATCAACCATTCAGTTCCAGAACCTAGTTTTCACAGCTGTTCTCTCACTTTCATGTGTGCTCACCCTAAAAAGCCACCACACACACCAGCCAAACAGATTACAAAAAAACTAACCATTCATAATATCAGTCAAAGGCCACACACCTAGACAGTCTCTGTCAACACTTCGTGCCAGACCTAGCAATGGTTCCCAAGTTATTATGAGGTCAGCCTTGGTCATGCCAATGCCCGTGTTCAGAAAAGACTCCTGAGGGTTGTGGATCTCATGTTCCTGCTCTTTACAAGCCTGTTCCACTGGGAAAGGTGTCTCAGGCCCTCACAGTAACTCTTGTCCGAGGCCTGTAAACACACCTACATAGCCACATTATTCCTATTGTCCGGACTGTTTCTTCCCTTTCAACGTGAGGCAGATTTGGGGGATCAAGCGCTGGATTATTCCTACCAATCACTCCCACTACCGGTGGCACTACACTGCCCCCATTAGTGTCAACGTTTAAATACAATCCAACACAATACCCACACCCGAGTCATTACAAGTCTACCCCCGAAGGGAGGTGGGCCTGTTTGAATAGAAAGTAGTGACCATGAGGGGCAGCAGGCGAGGGATGTCTGGCTGAAAGGCAGACTGTCCTCCTCCTCCTGAGCTCCACAGAGCTCAGCGGCGTCACATTTGAAAACCCACAAGTTCTCCCTCCGCTTTCAGTCCCTGTTCGGAGGTAGAGCTCACACTGATTTTAACTTCCAACTGATGAAACTACCCCAGAAAAAAAGACCTTCAAGCCACAGTAAGAACGGAAAAACCTCCAAGGATGGTTCTTCGACCAGACGTGGAGCTCTAACTGTTAGGAGTCGGCTAGGTGGTCAGAACTTCAACGCCTGCCCACAGACCTGGAAAAACTTCAGAACGAAAGAGAGTTAACTAGATTAAGAACCCCTGCTCACATACAATGCGGGAAATTTGAGAATTAGAAATTTCTCACTTGGGAGAAAAAGAAGTTTAACAGAAATAGCCATTTCTAGGTGCTGCTCTCCATGGGCCTAGGTCCACTGAAAGAAAGACATGTTCCTTACATCAGGACAAGAAGACCCAAGGGCCCAGTATGGGCAGTGCTCAAGGGGCAATTAAATCAGGACAAAGAGCCTAGGAGGCAAAGGCTCCGCCACGACTGCTCACTTTGCACAGGTGAAGTCCAGTCAACGGTAGCCCACGCCACTCTAGTCTCTGCAGAGCATGCATGACAACCCTCGCCCCGGAGGGCGCACCACCCCACGACCTCCCGCTACAAGCATCCAGAATAATCTGAGCTCTCAAGAGAGGAAGAGTAGGGGAGGAACCTATGACTCTTTCTGCCCATGCCCTCAGTCAACTCCTCCCTCCCCCTCCACTAAGTGCGCAGAAAAGATCTGTAAAAGGGAAGTGCTATGGGTTTGAGAGTCCCTGCCAACCCCTGACCTCCTCCCAAAACCAAGCAAGGGAAGGGTGTCCAGGACAGATGGCAGGGCCAGGCTCTCGGGGCTCTGCTGAGTCACCTCAGAGCAGCCCGCCACCGCACAGACGCTCTGTACCCTGTAGCCGGAAAGAAGGAGGGTGAAGTTCCTGCATTCAGGGTTTGCCGGTCCCACGCGCGGCCGGGGGTCACCGGGCTGGTCCGCTGCCTCGGGCGCTGTGGATTCAGCAGCCCTGGGGACACTCGCAGCTGGCTTGCGCCAGGATCACGCACGAGCCGTGGAAGGCTCTCCGGGCACGTCACCCCACAGGCTACCTGGCCCTGCCGGAGCCTTTAGGACAGACGCGAGCTGGGGGCGGCTCCTGCGGAGTCAAGGCTTACTGTAGCAGGAGAGAGCGGGCGCTTCCCAAAGAATCTGCACACCGAGCATGAGGTGGGCCAGGACTGGAGAGAGAGAGAGAGAGAGAGAGAGAGAGAGAGAGAGAGAGAGAGAGA